ACCAAATCAAACTTGTGGAATTCCAGGTAGAACAATTTTTTCAAATTTACATTTAGCCCGCGATCTTATAGATTACGCAGAATTTAAAAATCTACCTAGTTTCATTTTATCTATAGACCAAGAAAAGGCGTTTGACAAAGTCGATCGTGCGTTTTTGCTGCAAATTCTCCAAAAATTCAATCTCGGAGAAAATTTTGTATCTTTTGTTAACACCCTATATTCAGAGGTTTTGGCATCTGCTCTGAATTGCGGTTTTTTTGTCGGTCTTCTTTCCAACGGAAAGAGGAGTCAGACAAGGTGACCCACTCTCTCTTCTGCTGTACGTCTTTGTTTCCGAAACTCTCGCTTTGGTGGTCAGAGCGGATAGTAGAACAGAGGGTTTCCCACTCCCAGGAATATCGAAACCCCTTAAATTACAGCAATATGCAGACTATTCAAATTTTTTGCCAGGGACGTAATATCTGTCCGCTACTTCTTTGAAAAAGTAAAACCTTTTGAAAAAGCAAGTGGTTCAGTGATCAATGCCTCAAAAACCAAGGGTCTTGCTCTTGGGGGTTTCGATCCTAAAATGTATCCAGAATTGGACAACATAGAGTGGAACAATAATACCGGTTTCAAAACATTGGGTGTTACTTTTTACACCAGACTGAGTATTACTACCAATTTCTACTGACTAGTAACTCTAAACAAAATAGAGAAAAAACTCAAGTTTCTGGGACTACGTACTTTGTCACTTAGGGGAAAGACTATGTTGATAAATATGCTAGCAATGTCTAAAGTGTGGTTTCTGGCAAACGTTCTGCCCGTTCCCGAATGGGTAATAGAACGTTTACACAGTGCCATTTTCAAAAATCTGTAGCAAAAGACCAAATTCAATCCGGTCAAAAGAAGACACTTTTCATACCCTTCAAAAACGAGGGTCTCGGAATTTTATCACTGAAGGAGTAAACCCTTGCCCTTCGCCTCAAAACACTCTTTCAACTGAAAGAATGCAAAGAGAATAATACTCATGATTACTACTACTTTTCAAAGTACTGGTTAGCAAGTTCACTTATAAAATTTACGAGCCAAAACCGAAGCTGGAATTTTTTAAAACAGAACAATTTTCCAAAACACTGGGACAACAAAATGTCTCAGTACTACAAAACAACAATTGAAATATTAGGCAAAACCGGGTCCTGTTTAACATTCCCCTAAAATCTACAAAAAAAAATTATTTCGAAGTGGCAAAAAATGGCAGTGATCAGGGTAATAATCAGGAATATCAGAAATATTATCACTTTAAAATATAATTATCATGTCCGTAGAAACACTGCGGACATTTTCTGTCGACATTTTTGTATTAAGAACATTTTTTGCCAAGTAGAGAATGGAAATCTGAAACTAAACTTATGAGCTAAAAATAAAACATTAGTTCATAGCAAGATCTGCATGTTTAGTAAAGATTTCCTCCTCTCTGCCGATGTTTTTCTTTTATACTACAAATTCTATTATTATTTATGATTAAAAAATCACTGCCAGCCCTTATGCTATGACATTATTTTAACATATTAAAGTTGTCTATAAAGTTCGTGTAGTAATTTTAGTGTTACCGTCCTGTAATTTTTTTTTTTTTTTAATAAAAACTTTTTTATTCAAAAGCTCTAAATTTCTTTTTAATACCCTTTGCAAATCTTTATCTTACATTAAGATTTCCTTCCGCACAACAATCCTCATTTAAAAAATAAACAAAAAACACAAAAAAATATAAAATCAAAAGTAAGAAAAATACAAAATGTAAAGATATGTCTATATAAAACGAACTGTAAAACGTATGTTATATAAAAAAAAAAAAACAGTTATATATTATAAAAAAACCTGTAAAAATTAAATATTATAATATAAAAAAGATATTTAAAATCAACTGAGATAATGTAAATTTATAAAATTTGTAAATATTTATTGTTTTGTAATAAAAAAAAAAAAAAAAAATTTTGAAAAAACACGGAAAAACATGGAAAAACACGGAAGAAACACTTAAACTTTTTTTTTCACCACTAAGTTTACAAGGTACGGCTCCTAATTTGAAAAATTTGAAGCGTTTATTATTATGGCAAAAGGTTATACAAGCGTTTTGTCGTCTTCTACATCTTCGACCTCTCAGCCCATGACACAACTTGGTATTTTTAAATCTAACTTGTCGAGCGATGACGTCAATGTTTTAGTTTGCTGACACAGTGACCTTAATTTCAGCGTTAATGATTTTTTACTCGCTTTATCTGCTAAAAACTTTTTACCAAATATCTGGGGAGTCACAAGGCACTACTCAAATCAACTCTTTGAATTCGCAGTAATAGATAATTCGGCTGTCGAGTTGTTTTTGAAGACCGAAATTGAAGTCAAAGGCTGTGTTCTACAATTTCAACAAAAGTTTGTCCAAAAAGTGCACGTCCTAGTGTAAACTATCCCTATCAGTATTTTGCGAAACGGATGTCAAAGTGCTTTCATCCTTCTCGGAATACATCTTATATCTTCTTGGAATGCATCTTACATCAAAAGTACAGGGCAAAGAGTTTTTTAACAGGAAATGTCATTATCATTATAAAAAATTGAAAAAATCCATCCGAAAACCCTCTTTCTTGCTACCAAAACGTAGATGGGCTTACTCTCAGGTACAAGCATGTGGGTCAACCTGAGAATAGTTCCCAAAAAGTGAACACAATCATTATACCAAAACTAAACGAACAAACGCAGATAAACAAAAAAAAAAGTGATTAAAGAGAAACCAATGAAAGTGTAAACATTGATGAAAACGTTTGCAAGATTGACATCAATGTCAAAAAAAAATGATGTTATTTGTACTGAAATAAAAACTTTATCAAAAACTGGTACTCATTACAAACACCGCAGTTTTTGAAACAAAAAAATACGACGTCGGAATCAAAAAAAGTCATGCATATCGAAGAAGATCAGTTACGCACAGAAATGGAACAAAGTTTTAGCGACGACGGTGCAGATGTTTTATTTATCGACGAGGAATACAAAAGTTAACCATGTGCGAAAAGGAAATTGTATTCCTTTTTTTCCAATTTTATTTTCTCTATTTTTTCCAATTTCTTTTTTTTTTATTTTCTTTTTTGTTCTTAACTTTGTTTTTTTTGTAGAACTCTTATAATTCTAAACTAAACATTACTTTTCTAGCTAAAGCTTTCTTTTTCGATCTATTTAATTATATTTTTTAATTCATATTAAAAATCTTTTATTTTACGTTTCTCATTAAAAATGAATGGCACATATTGATGGTGTTCTATCACGTGACGTTTAAACTCGCGGTCGCCATACTGTATGGCAAATAAAGTAAACAAAGTGAGCGTTTATTAGTATAACGTATTTAATTACAATTATTTAGATAACATAACTTGTAGTAGATAGATGTTTAAAGGTTATTTTTGAGTAAGTTTATGTAGAATCTAATTCTCTATCTAATGGTATAATTAATTTATTTTTGCCTAAAATAAAACTCTTTTAAACTTGTTTTCAACTCTATTAACTTGTTTTCAAAAGTGTATTATAAGTAATGTGCAAATAGGTAAACTGTACATAAAGTATTCCAAAGCATTCAAAAATAGACTATATTATTTGTGTTTTACATTTTAAAAATTTTCTGTTAAGTATTATAACACGCAAAATTCTTTTTATATATACATATATATTTTTGCCAATTGCTAACTAGCATAACTCAGATACAGTGAACACATTTTGGTTGTTTAAAGATGTTAATAAGTTTTTAAATTGTATTAATATTTTAAAATGTTATGTATTTAAATAATACGCTAAATTACTTATTAAATTGCTTTAGTATCTTAAAAGTATTTAATAATAATTAACAACAACAACAACAACAATCGGCAACAAGCGAAACCACAAACTTAGAAGAATGTGTCATTTTAAAGACAATCAACACTCGTGCAAAAACGTAAACAAGTTGCAGAGCATCCAAATGATTATAATCTCATTATAAACTTCAAATTGTTGAAAATATGTGTATCTTTTTGCTGTCATGTCAAGAATGTTTTTCATAAAACATAGACTTTTTATTGACAAATTGACGTATAAACGAAATAAAAGTATACATAGTAGACAAAATTGATTGGAAGATCTGCATTAGCTTCAAGAGAAGTAGGTAATAGACACAAATTGAACTGAAACATTTTTATGAATAAGTTGTAACATTTCAAGGACATCTATAAATAGTAATAGTAAATATGTAGTAGATCTGTAAGTATTAAAAAACTTTCAATGAATATTTGTATCCTTTCAAGCAATAATTTTTAGAAGATCTATTTTATTTCATTGATAAGCGTGCAATGAGTTTCTCAGAAGAGGTGACTCTTTGTTATTTAAAGATATTGTTAGTTGTGGGCCTTATGTACACTTTTATAAATTACCACTGAAAGTAAAGTGTGTTGGATATGTGCAGTTTTAAATTGTTTCACTGAATTCAACGATAAGTTTAAACAACTGGAACTTAATAATGGATCTCAATAATGACTTAACAACAAAACTTTTTGTTGATACTATAAACATGCTGAACGTTTTCATTAATTTGGATTTTTAATAAATCAATTTTTAAATATACCTTATAAATATGCTCAAATTGACAAAAAAATGTTGGTCTAGCACGTTTAAAATGATATACATTAAAACTTTTTTTAGAATTGTGTACTATACAAAATACAACTTCTCTAATTCAAATTTCATAGGTGAAATAAAAGTTTAAATTAAAAGATTTTTTAATAATAGAAGTTTGGTCTATTTATTTTCATTATACATTCAAAAAAAATTGTTTTAAAACGTCTTTAAAAAATATTGTTTTTTTTTCTTCATAGAAACTATAAATTTTTTTATCCCTGTTAGCAAAACTATGCCAAGTACTTGTTTTGCCAATGGTTGCTCAAGTAGAGCAGACCGTGGCAAGATGTCTTTATATAGCTTTCCCACTATTATTAGGCATCAAGATAATAAAACCCTAGAGTTGTCAGCTAAGAGGCGCTGTGAAAGGATTGCAGCAGTTAATAGACAAAAAGAACCAAACAAATTCTCGAAAGTATGCTCTACTCACTTTAATTCAGGTATGAAATTGATATAATTTTGCCATATTATGTTACTTGTAAAGATCTATATATGTAAAATGTATATGTTTTTAATATTTACGCTATATTTATTATTATTAGGTAAACCAGATGTAGTGTATGACGTCACCATCCCAGATTGGGTTCCTAGTTTATTGTTGTCTGTATCAGAAAGGCAACCACAAGATAAAGAGACAGGCACCTCCACTCTCCCCAAAACTTCAAAAGTTTCAAGGTACGTGCTTTACAAGTAAGTGGACTAAAATGATATTGCGTATCTATAGTGAAGCATTACATTGTTATTATAAAAAATAACACAATCAATTTCAAAAATATTTTATATTAACTTAAAGTAAATAAAGTAACGCTTTCAACGAAATGGTAGTCCACAGTCTATTTGACAACTTTTTTGTAGACAGTTTAACTTCAATATTGACATCCCTTAACTCACAGGCTTTTGCCTTTTTCAGATATTCTTGTGCGCAAAATAGAGCTTAAAAAAAAGTATGCTGCCGCAGAGGATCTCCTACATTTTGCTGATGGAGCTGCCAGTGAAACAACAAGCAAGATTTTAATCAGCGATCCAATTGCAAAGCGTAAATTATGCACTTTTTTGTTTAAAGGTCTTGTTAATAAAAAGCAGAGTAATGAAATCGAATTCCTTACGATTGATGATAGTCTCTCAGCGCAAAATAATGAAAGCGAAATCCTGACGAAAGATTATGGACGAGTTCTAAGTGAGAATATTAAGTTGAAGGCAAAGCTCTTGTCGCTTCAATTAGCAATTTAGAGTTTTTTACCGATGATAAGAAAGTTCTGTATTACGCAGGCTTGCCCTGTAGCAAAGTGTTATTGGCTGTGTTTCAGCATGTCGATGCATATACTTCATTAACAGCGCTTTTGAGACTATCTAAGTTTCAAAAAGTGATTCTTGTGCTAATGAAGCTGCGTCTTGGAACCCCATTGCAAGACTTAGCATTTCGGTTTGACATTTCCTATTCCGTTGCGTCAAAAACTTTCAAGAAAATTTTGCGCATATAATATGTTCGTATGAAACCTCTAATTTTTCTGGAGAGAAAGAAAAGAGTTGCAAAAATCCATGCCATTATCGTTTAGACAACACTTTTGACTTAAGATAGCTGTCATCATAGACTGTTTTGAAATTTTTATTGAAAAACCCTCAAATCTTATGGCCAGAGCACAGACATAGAGCAACTATAAAAGTCATAACACTGTTAAATATTTAATTGGCATTGTTCCACAAGACGTTATTTCTTAAATTTCCAAGGGATGGGATGGGAGAGCTAGTGATAAACATATTACAGAACAATGTGGGCTCCTTGAGAAACTCAAGCCTGGGGATGTTGTGCTTGCTGACTGAGGTTTTAACATAGCCGATTCTGTTGGTCTTACGTGTGCTAAGGATAAAATTTCAGCCTTTATAAGAGGAAAAAAGCAGCTATCAGCTGTTGAAATCAAAAATACTAGAAAAATAACTCATTTGAGGGTCAATGTGGGAAGAAAGATTGGACTAGCAAGAAACAAATACGCTATATTAAAGAAAATTTTTCCAGTTGACTTTTTAGTGTGCAAGGCAGACAATATAACAACTGTTGACAAAATTGTTACAGTGAGTTGCGCACTTACCAATTACTGCAAATCAATTGTACCTTTTGATTAATACGGAAATTATGTAAAACCATTTAAATATGTTAGTAAACTATATTATATTGTTTTAAAATATAACAAGGATGACATTAAAATATAAATATATATATATATATATATATATTTTTATGTTTGTTTAATCTTTTATGATTGACTTACTTTTAGCTGACATAAATGTCTTTTTATACTGTGGCAAAACACGACACTCAGGGCAACACCATGCTCCCTGAGGTAAAGAGTTAATTTTTTAATTATCGTTAGGCGTTCGACATAAACAAAATAACTCGATGTTGCAATCAGAGTCCATTGAAGCGGAAATAGAGGCTACACCTACTGATGTAGTAGAAATAGCATCTTCAACTACTAGTGTACTAGAAATAGTTGCTTCACCGACTGACGTACTAAAAATATCTGGTTCAACTACTAATGTATCGGGAATATATAGAATATATAGGAAAAGCCGCTTCAACTTCTAATGCAGTAGTACTCACTTTTTCGAGTAAGGAAGGTTGTGCTTTTGAATGAATGGCTTCGACTATTTCTGGTAGAATCGCCTTTTCAAAGAATAGTTGCGATTTAAGCAAAATTTCATTCGAGAAGACCTTTAAATCAGTTTCATTTACTTTAAAAGTATAAATAAATACATAAAATAAAATTTATAAATTAAATTAAACCTCAATGGGCGTTTTATTTCTAATACTCTTTTGCCACAGCAATTACAAGATACCAATGAATCTGAAGTTGCTCCTAAATATGAGTTGTAGTGGTCAATATGTAGGCCACTTTTATAAATTTTTAATCCAGTGTGCTTATCTTTGATTAAGTTAGTATAGCAGTCTAGAGCACCTGTTTCGTGCTGACAACCCCAGTCTGTTGCGGCTGTTTTAAACTTAATGAAGGATAACATATAGATTTTATAGCTGTTTTAGAGTAATAAAGGATGACATATAGATTTTACAGTGTTTATTGATGGTTTTAAGGGCGAAGTAATGCATGTTTCTTTATATTTACAGAAGTTATTCTGCCTGCGCGGAATCTAAACCACACACGGCTCGTAGCTTGACTTCTTGTCTGCTCTTCTACAAGTTGAAACGCTTTTTTAGTTGTGAGCAGAGTGTCACTATATAGAATTTGAGTAAACAGTCATCTATTTCCTCAAGTGTTGCTGATGTGCCTTGGTCTTTTTCTAGATCTTCACAAACCCAGGGGTACAAGGAAGATAAAAACCTAGGAACGTATGATTCAACAAAGTTAGGTACAATTGATAGTATACTTGGTTAAGCGCTAGTGTCATGCAATTTTTGAAAAATGATGTTCATTTCAATAGCGTTGGGAGGTTCTACAAAAGGAAGAGGCTGCAAATAATATTGTCTCACAGGTGTCTAGGATAAAATTTTATCAAAATTTCTTTTTATCGTTGCTGCCGATGTAAAATCAATATTTTGTATTCTAGAATATTTTAATTCCTTCACATTTTATGGTAGCATCCAGTATGCCGTTTTTTCGGTAACAGTTCGGCTATTTTCTAAGCGCACAGAAGCATCCATTTCAAAAAGCGTGGCACTGACATGAATACATGTTTCAGCTAAACCTGCCATACAGTTAAAGTGTGCAGCTAAAATGTTTCCACTCTTTTCAGAAATAAACCAAGGTTGTAGTGGTGGTCTATTAATACTCTGAGAGTGTCTCACCTGAACAATGAATGATATATATACAATATATATATATATATATATATATATATATATATATATATATATATATATATATATATATACATATATATATATATATATGTATATATATATATATATATATATATATATATATATATATATATATATATATATATATATATATATATATATTTGTATATATATTTATGTATATATATTTATGTATATATATATATATATATATATATATATATATATATATATATATATATATATATATATATATACATATATATATATATATATATATATATATATATATATATATATATATATATATATATATATATATATATATATATATATTTATGTATATATATATATATATATATATATATATATATATAAATTATTTCAGGAACAAATATGGAACCTTAAAGTGACTTGAAATAAATAGGGTAGGCCTTCAAGAATAACTTCACCACTGTAGTTAGAAAGAAGTAATTTAGTTACCTCAAAACCTTTTCATAGAAAATTATAAGAAACTAATAACAAAATAAAAAAGAATTGTAGGATACATGGAGAGGTTAAAGTGTTTTCAAGAGATTTGAAAAATTGGAACCACGTATATAGCACTTTTTTAAAGTTTAGCAAAAATTCTAGATAGTTCTGGAGAACACTTTTTCAAGACTATGATGGAAAGCTTGTCTGAAGCACACATTGTAGTTTAATTGAGAACTAGTTTTAGTGTTGGAAGCTAGAGTAATTTCGCTGTCTAACAATTGATTAATTTAAAGTTTAGCAAAAGTATTTTACTGTCAGGAAGAGTATGGCCGTTATATTCCAGAGTCAAACGTTATTTGTCAAAAGAGAAAATGATCAGATGGATGTGTGGTGTGAATCTAACAAGATATAAAAAATAGGCATACTCTTAGACAGATTAGAAAAAACGTTGTATCAAACAACCTTTTTTTTAGAAAAAGTTAAAGTAATTCAGGTATTAACATGTAGAGTGGTAGCAGCTTTAGTTTAAAATGGTTGTGGTAGAAGTAAGAAAATTTGAAGATTGTGCCTTACATAGTGCCATAATAAAGATGATGATGATTATCATGATGACGATCAACAACATCAACATAATTTTTATTATCATTGTCAAGCTTTCCACTTTTATGCTGTTGATGATAATGATGATGATGATGATGATGATGATGATGATGATGATGATGATGATGATGATGATGATGATGATGATGATGATGATGATGATGATGATGATGATGATAATGCTGAGGGTGATAATGATAATGATGATGATGGTGATGATGATGGTTATGATGATTATGATGATCATGCTGATTACAATGATGTTCATATATGCATATATATACAAAATATAGCATGAATTTTAAATTTCAAAAATATACTTTAGGATGTATAAATGTTTATGCAGCCTAGTCTCAAACCAGGCCCTAGCCCCGGCTAAATTTTATCAAACCCGGCCCCGGCCCCAGTCAGATATCAACCCAGTTGTTTACTCCAAAACATTTCAAGAATATAAAACGTCGTTTTATTTTTAAAAACAATTACTTATTTTATATATATTATATAAAATAAGTATTTTATATAATATGTAATTGTATAAAAATGTTTTTATACAATTACTTATATATATATATATATATATATATATATATATATATATATATATATATATATATATATATATATATATATATATATATATATATATATATATATATATATATATATATATATATATATATATATATATATATATATATATATATATATATATATATATACATATATATATATATATATATATATATATATATATATATATATATATATATATATATATATATATATATATATATATATATATATATATTTTGATTTAGATTCTGTATCTCAATGATATCCTGGCTTATCGATACGATATCCTGTATATCCATTCACACACATAAATTTTACTCACACACGTAAATCCTGTAAATTTACTCACACTTATAAATCTTAAAAAAGATGTTTATATTTTTATCTATAATTTGTAAATTTTATATAAATAAAAATGTATATTTTTTATGTTTTTCATTTTATATTACTATTTGTATTAAAAATCGACTTTCGAAATATTGTAAGCGCAGAGTTCAACATACAATTTTGTTTTATTTTCAAATTCAATATTCATTTGAGCCAAGTTTAATCACGTTTTATAATATTTTGTGATATTTTCTCCAGCGCATTTGAGCGTTGATAAAATGTTATATTTCAAGCTTTACTCGACGTCTTTGAGTCACGTTAAATCGACGTTTTACTACCAACGTTACAAATCCTTGCAAAATCAACTGCTTTAACAACGTTAAAATAACGCTTTTCAAGTAACGTTTTTTCAACGTTACGTTGCGACGCCTATGCAACGCTTTTAAAGTAACGCTTTTTCAACTTTTAGTTGCGACATTTTTGTAACGTCTTTTAGTAACGTTTTTCCAACCTTACGCTACAACGTTTAATCAACGTCTTTTTAACAACGTTACATATCTTTGCAAAATCGATTACTTTGTCAACGTTTCCGCAACATCTTTTGCGACCGGTTTTCAACGTTAATTAGATTTATTTTTCTACTAAATGTATTTCATTTGATAGCTCAGTAGTTAAGTGCGCTGTCATCAGTTTTGTTTTAGGGGGTTAAAGACTATTCTTCAGCATATTAAATTTTGACATTTTTTTTATAACGCCTATATACTTATAACTAAAAAATAATAATTTAGCAAAAAATATTTCTAAAATTTAAAATAAAATTATAAAGTTTTCTCATTTTATAGATATATTAGCAGTTATGACCCGTAAAACACGGGTCTTGGTAATTTTATTCCACATCGCTTACTTCAATACTTTGTAGTGATCTGTAAAAAAGAAGCTATATACATGTAGAAAAAACTATTATTGTTGTTTCCTTTTTAAATCAATGAAAAGTAAAACTTTTTATTATAATTAACCTTATTAAACTTTAAATGTTACGGTAACGTTACGTTGCGTAAACCGCCAATTGGATACCTGTGTAAATACCTTGCAACATGTAAAAAGTTTCACCTGACCGGACCCGTAAAAACACGGGTCTTTGTAAGTCTATTCCACGCTGACTTTTTCTATTCATTTTCTTTATGTGTATACCTTAATTTTCCTACCCAGTAAAATACAGGTTTTAACCAAAGCGATAATTTCTATGCTAATTTATTCCACACAAATCATCTTAACTTTCATATTATTTGGTAAAATAAAATATGTTAAAAAAAAATTAACATGCGCATATTTACCATATACGAACCTTATTAGAGTATCTTTTTAATAATTATTTATTTGCCAGAATATGTACAAGGTAAATTTACATTAAATATATTACCGGCAGGACTTCTAGAAGATCACAGGATCTTATCATGAAGCCCTTTAAAATCTATATAACAAAAAAAAATACAATATTCTAATATTCTTTACAGTCTATATAATAAACAAAATAAAGTATAAATCAAAATAAATAAAAAAAACAACTTATATACTAAAAATAGATATAAATATTTTGTGTTGAAAAGATAATTTCTTTTAATTTTTGTTTAAAAGAAGAATAAGACCATTTAAAAGAAAAATCGAAATTAGGTAAAATTATTTTATTCCAAAGAGGAGGACCACGATAAGAAATACAAAACTGGTCAAATTTAGTTTGGCAAAATGGCTCTTTGATACTTTTACTGGCACGAAGATTATATTTGTTTTTTGGTTTCAAATTATAAAGATATATAAATACAATAGGTGATATATTTTCTTAACATTTAAACATAAAATATTCAAAACATTTATTTCGTAAATATTCAAAACTTTCCTTTCTTTAAGAAGTGGTGTTGAGCTTGAAAAACGATTCGCAAAACTAGTTGTGCGAGCTGCGTGTTTTTGATGTCGATAAAGAGATTTAAATTTGGTTTTGTGAGCGCTTCCCTATATTAAATTTGCATAGTTTAAATGGCAATGAATTAGTGAATAATATAGTTGTGTTAATTGATGTTTATTTAATATGTCTAACTTTATATAGAACTCCAATGCTTTTAGCAATTTTCATTGAAATATTATCAATTTGTTGCCGCTAAGATAAGTTTTCATCTATTATAACTCCTAAGAATTTTGTATTTTTTTCTCTTTTTATTACTGTACGTCAATATATAAGTCAGGCGAGATGTTTTGAATTTTCTTTTTTTTAGAAGTTGGACGAAAAAGTATCCATTTTATTTTATCGATATTTAAAGACAACCTATTTTTTTGGAACCAATATGAAATATTTTTAAATATATTTATATATATATATATATACATATATATATATATATATATATATATATATATATATATATATATATATATATATATATATATATATATATATATATATATATATATATATATATATATATATATATATATATATATATATACTTTTATTTTGCTGATTAAACCGTTACAATAACAATTTTTATATAATGATGTAAAAAATACATAAAATACACGTCGTTAAGATAAACATGATAAAAAACGTTTTTTTCATTATTTTTTAATTTTATATTATGTATATTCAGTTCGAATCAGTCAGGGACTCAAATAAGGTAAGGATGATGTGTTTGACATCACAACCTTTTTTCATAGAGCCCGTATTGTCACTCATTATAAAGACAATTTAATTTTTAAAAATAAAATAAAAATTCAATAAAAACAAAGCTCATATTTTTTTAGTGTAACAAATTCAAAAACAAAAAATATTAAAAACAAGAAAAATAAGAAGACGGAAAAAAAAACAAAAATAAAAACAAACACTCTAAATTAAAAAAATATATATGTCAGGAATTAAGAAGATGCATTTTAGTTTCCCGTTTAAAAGATGAAATGTTTTTTAGGTCTTTAATATTTTTATTTTGGAAATGATTCCATGTTGATGGGCCACGGTTTGTAATAAAAAAATTGCCTGATCTAAATTAATTTTACTTAAGTGATAGTTGTACATCGTATTTGAACGCAAATTATATTTTTCAGAAAACTATATCAAGAAAGTATCTGAAAAAACGCTTGGTAGGAGGTTTTTTTTATTCTTATACATAAAAATCAATATCTGTAATGTGTTAAGCTTCTCAATATCTAGAACCATCATGCTTTTCATCACTGGGGCCGGGTTTACTAACCTATTTAAATAGTTTATTCCTTTGCATGCATGGTTTTGCAGGCTTTGTAATTTTCTCAGTCATATTGTTAAAAAGTATTATAATGTCTTCGTCTGACTGAAACAAACTCATATCGTTATCAAAAATTATTGTCGCTAAATTAAAAGCTTTGTAAAGATCATATATGTATATTAAAAATAAGAGTGGCCAAAGTATGGACCTTGGGGAACACCACATGTTATATTCATTAAATATTGAGGCGAAAATTCTTTGTTATAAACAAGTTGTTTGCGGTTACTTAGATAACTTTTAAACCAGTTTAGGGTTACATCTCTTACACCATAGCTTTTTTAGCTTTTTTAATGAAATATGGTGATTAACAGTGTCAAAAGCTTTATACACTATCTTATACTAGTGGATCTTATAAGAGATTTATAAAATAGTTTGTTTTTCTCATAAACAGAGAGACTCTATTCCTCATTAAATTTGTCTATATTGTTCCTAATATTTTTTTAGTGAACAATAGATTATGAGTAAAAATTGAAAGTTTACATACGCATCTTTTCTATATACTTGAAGCTTGTTACCACGTATATTTTTTTGGAATGAAAAATTCTGAATTTACTATTAATTTTACTAGAAATATAGAAATACTAGAAAATACTATTACGGAAAAAACGCATTATTAACTCTTGTTTTATTGCGTAAATAAGACTAGATAATATTTGTTAGCAAATTTTATTAAGATAATATTTATTAGCAAATTTTACTACGGAAGTGATCGGACGTGCTTTTCTTGCGCTGTAAATTTTTATAAAATTGTTTGAACTTAATTTTTAAAATTTTTGCTATAACTGGTATTTAACTTTTTACTGGTATTTTGTTTATAACTGGTATTTAACTTGAGATTGAAAATGAGTTCAAAACAAATCACTGACGTCTCGATAAAATTAGTTAGGGAAATTTTTCAAGAAATGTTCCAAAAACAACAAAATAATATACTATCGTTAATAAGTCAAATTTAAAACTGACTAATGATCGAATCGATGGATTGCTGAAAGAAATTAGTACATTAAAAGAAACTTGTGAAATGTTAAAAAAAGATAACGTAAACCAAAATGCCGATCAAAATAAAACTAACAAGCAGTTGATAAAGTTTGAAAAAACACAAAAAGACATTGAGGAAAGTCTAACGTTTTATCAAGATTGCAATGACAAAAAAATGAGCGAGTTGGAAAAAAAAAAGTCATCGAATGCAAATATAGGTGAGAATGAAAAAAATAAATTTAGACAGCTGGAAGATCGACAAAGGCGAAATAATCTTCGAATTGAAGGAGTTAAAGAAAATGACAACGAAAGTTGGGATGATACGGAAAAAATAATAATAAACATTTTTGAAAATAATCTCAATGTAAATGGGGTAATCATAGAAAGAGCGCATAGAACTGGCATTATTGAAAAAAAAAAATCCAAGAACAATTGTAATTAAGTTACTTAACCATAAAGACAAAGTAAAAATCCTAAAAAATGCCAATAAACTGAAAGGATCCGGAATTTATATCAACGAGGATTTTTCGCTGGAAACTTCCACAATAAGAAAGAAACTTCTTGAAGAAAGCAAATTGCACAGGATAAATGGTAAGTATTCCGTTGTTATATACGATAAGCTTATTGTTAGAGAATTTATAAAAAAAAAATAACGATAAATGATTTTCTTACGTTTTTATATTACTTTTTTGAATTTTAATATTGCTTTAAGTTATTTCTGATTTAAAATGGCTGATGAAACTGTTTTAACAAACATAAATTTTAATTCATTTGTATCAAAAAAGTCAATACTATTAAACAACTATTCGGATCCTGATATTAATTTTTATAATAATGATGAAATAATTAAAAATATTAACCCTTTATATTATGACCCAAATTCTAAAAAAATTGCTAATGGAATGGAGGATAACTATTTTTCAATGCTTCATATTAATATTAGAAGTATTCAAAAAAATTTTGAGTCATTAAAACAACTTTTATATAAAATTGGCATTAAATTTCAAATAATTTGTCTAAGTGAGACATGGTGTAAAGATAAAAACATTGAAAACAATTCTAATTTTCAATTACCTAATTATAAAGTAATTCATCAAGTTAGAGCATCTAATAAGGAAGGTGGGGGTTTGTGTATATACATAAAAAACTCAATATTATTCAAAGTTAAACCAAATTTAAGTTCAACTACTAACGATTATGAATCGTTATGTATTGAAATTATTAACAAAACCTCAAAAAATATCGTCATTCATGGTTTATACAGACCGCCTTCAGGAAGCATTAAGGTATTTGAAAACCACATTAAAAAAATAATTAAAAATAAATCGTCTATGAATAAAGCTGTATATTTTATTGGTGATATCAATCTCAATATATTAGATTATGAAAAAAATATATATATTAATAAACACCATTTTTCAAAATAGCTATATTCCACTAATCAATAAACCAACGCGAATAACTAAGGAAAGTTCAACATCCCTAGATCAAATTATAACAAATGAATTTATAAATAAAAATATAAGAACAGGAATATTTAAAACTGACGTGTCTGATCACTTTCCGATTTTTATCCTATCGCAAAAATGCATATATAATGCCCAAAATGAACGGGAAAAATCAATTAAAACACGTTTAATAACCGACAATTCTATTAGTCATTTTTATAAGCTTCTATCCTGTGTTAACTGGGACACCCTAAAACTAAATCTAAACGCCAATAAAGAGTATGATATTTTCCTAACAGAGTTTCTTAATCTTTTTAACAAGGCATTCCCAGAAGTTACTAAAGTAATCAAAACAAAAACACTTTTAAACCCTTGGATCACGAAGGGCATTCTTAAATCTTCAAAAAAAAACAACGCTTATATAACAAGTTTCTTAAAAAAAGAACTCTTAAAAATGAAACTACCTATAGAAACTATAAACGGCTATTTGAGTCAATCTTAAAACGCTCAAAGAAACGTTACTATTCTGAACAATTAATAAAGCACAAAAATGATTCTAAAAAAACTTGGCATATTATTAAGGAGGTAATTGGAAAAAAAAGCTTATACAGAAATTTACTTCCTCTAAATCTTAAATTTAATAACAAACAAATTGTAAATAAATCCTTAGTCGCTGAAACACTTAACCAGTTTTTTGTAATTATAGGTCCTACTTTATCATCTAGTATAGCAACTACTCAATCGCACTTTAGTTCGTACTTAACCTCAACCAACCTTAATGTTATGTCTAATTATAAACTTACAGAAAAAGAATTACTAGACGCAGTCTCTTTATTAAAACCCAATAAAAGTTTAGGATTTGATGATATAAGTAGTAATGTCATTATCAAATCAATAAAACAAATTACAATTCCATTACTACATATTTTTAATTTATCTCTAAAACAAGGCGTTTTTCCAGATAACCTAAAAATTGCAAAAGTAATTCCAGTGTTAAAATCAGGTGATCCTTCCGATGTTACGAATTATAGACCAATCTCAATTCTTTCTTGTTTTTCTAAAATATTAGAGCGGGTTATGTAAAATAGACTATATTCCTTTTTAAATGTTAATAATATTCTTTATCATAAACAGTTTGGATTTAAATCTGGTCATTCAACTGATCATGCAATCACTCACCTTGTTCATGATATATTTAAAGGGTTTGATGAAGACAAGTATACCCTAGGTGTATTTATCGATTTAAGTAAAGCTTTTGACACTGTCAATCATCAAATCCTTCTATCCAAACTGAAAAGTTATGGTATAATAAATACTAATTTGTCCTGGTTTGATAGTTACTTGACTAATAGAAAGCAGTTTATTTCATATGATAGCGGAAAAATGGAATATAAGTCAATCACCTGTGGTGTTCCACATTTAACCTGGAGGGACCACATAGGTCTAATTGAAAATAAAATATCAAAAAATATAGGTGTTTTGTATAAAGCCAAGCAGTTTTTAAATCTATCTTGTTTAAAAAACTTACATTTTTCTTTAATTCATTGCTACTTAATTTATGCAAACGTTGCTTGGTGCAGCACAAACGCAACAAAAGTAAAAAAACTGTTTAGTAAACAAAAACAGGCTATAAGAATAATTACAAACGTAGACCGTTTCTCTCACACTAAAACATTATTTAATAAACTTAATATTCTAAATGTATATAAACTAAACCTTTACCATATTCTTATCTTCATGTTTAAACTTGATAAAAAAATATCACCAATGTTATTTAATTCACTTTTTGAAAAAATAAACCACATATACCCTACCAAATTTTCAAAAAACAATTACATTCAATCCAAAACACATTATTCAGCAACCAAATTCTCAATTGTAAATCGAGGTCCTAAGCTGTGGAATACAATATTAAATAATGAGCTGAAATCTAATTATTCTTTAAACCAGTTTAAAACAAAACTTAAGCAATTACTGATGATACATGAAAATGAATTAAAGTTCTTCTAAAAAGCTTTTGAAACTAGTAAACAAAAACAAAAATTAACCTACTAATTACTCTTTAATATTATATTTAATATTCTAAACAATAGTCTGCTATTGTAAATGTATTTCTTATCTTATAAGTTTTGAATTTACAAACGATTTTTTAAGTTTTATTATTTGAAATACTAATTACTAAAAATATTGTAAAATTTTATAATTTCAATTTTTATTAAAAAAAGTTATTGTAAATTCTTTTTGTAATATTAATACTTATATATCATCTTATTTTACTAATCAGTTCTTAAATATAAATACTCTTTGAATTACTAAATATTTTAAACGTTGTATATTTTATTTTTTACATTTTGTTAAAATATTTTATTTGATGAATATGCATTTTTTTGGGGGGGCTTAATGATAAGATGAATTTTGTCTTCTTCAAGCCCCAGTCATGTAAATATTTGTTTTTATAAATTACGAGTGTAAATTATTTTCAATCGGCAAATACAATACTAAAAAAAAAAAAAAAAAAAAAAAAAAAACAACAACTAAAAAAATTTAGAAAGAAAATCGTCTCTGGTGTTAGATGCCTAGATTTACTTTATTAAATATGTTAGGTACTATTTTCATAGTTATCTAAGTTCCGTCATTTAGCACTTTGCTTAGAATTTAGCGGAGGCGTTGTAAAATACCTATCAAACTTTAAATAACTTTATTATCCTAAAATGAATAACTTTAACTTTTATTATTTTTTAAATTAATTGAGTTGATAAAAATGATTTATTTTATATAAAATCAAAATTTTAAGTCATGTTCTTAATAGAAAGATTCTATTTAAACCTCCTTACTTTGTTCAAAATAAAGTTTAGAAGCCGCGTGGCAAGCTTGCTTTTTTTTTTTAATTTTTAAAACGCAAAACAAAACAATTTTATAGTTCCCTTTTAAAATTGTTTTATTCTGTATTTTAAATAAAATCAATGAAAAATTTAAAAAAAAAAAAAAAGAATTTTAATGATAGGACTCTAACTCCGATACTCACCTCCGTATGTCGGCACGCTAAACGCTCGACCATATTGCAACTTACCCAGCGAGCATTTTGACGTCCTAAGAACGTCCGTAAGTCGCCTTAAGTCTCGTCCGTTAGACATCCTTAGTTAGTCTCAAATGAAAGTCTTGAGGACGTCTATTCCGGACGTCCTAAAAACGTCTTTTTAAGACGTCCTAGAGACGTTTTATACAGACGTTCTAGAGATGTCTCTGGCTGGTCTCATATGAAAGACTTAAGGACGTCTTTTTCAGACGTCCTAGAGACATTTGAATTTTACCAAGACATTCTTTTAAAAGTTATATAAAAATGCAATAATTTACAACACACACCTTAGATTTGCCTTAATCTAGGCAAGAGAAGTTATAAAAAGAAATCAAAGTAAATAAAGTGTAATTTGATATATTTAAAATAAATTAATAACTTTACAACAAAAAAGAATAAATTTTCAAACAAAGTTACATTTTCCAAATTAAAAACGAATAGGTACTGTAGAATATAATCGATAGTGTATTATAAATAGAAGAAAATTGCTAATAAAAATGAAAAAAAATTAAGCCATCATTGATCGAAATCCATATTAGTGGATGTTCTCTTTATTCGGTCAGAAGAATGCCTTCTTACTCTCCCAATAAGTTGGATGGCATTCATTTTGGTTAAGTTTTTATTTGACTTAAAAGCAGCTTCTAAAAAAAAAAAAACATGTTTTAATAAGATCATAAAATAAAATAAACATGTCATGTATTCATACACTTGAATACATGTCATGTTCCATAGCCAAAGAAATTAAAATTTTTTTTTTTTCCTAATAAAAAAATCATTTTTAAATTTTAATTAATAAAACACATTAATAAGCTAATAAGAATACCAGTAACAGGGTTACATAGAATTGTCAACTCTTTAAACTTTTTTTTCTTCTTAAGACAATTCATGGTGTTTTCTGACAAAATAGTGTCTGTTGGCAGTCTACATATTTAAAAAAGAAGATAAATACTGTACTGTCAATCATAAATGTTATAATTCAAACTTTTGCTAATTACTTACAAGAGCAAAATATTTTTAATTGTATCAGCTAGATTTTTACCGCCAATAAATGATAACTGTTTCACATAAAAAGAAACAATGTATAAGAAACATTGAAAATGTTATTGAGAATTTAAAATAAATATTGTAATAATATATAACATATAAACTATAAAGATAAACCTCATGTATACAAAAGTATATATGTATATATATATATACACATAAATATATATATATATATATATATATATATATATATATATATATATATATATATATATATATATATATATATATATATATATATATATATATATATATATATGTGTGTGTGTGTGTGTGTGTGTGTGTGTGTGTGTGTGTGTGTGTGTGTGTGTGTGTGTGTGTGTGTGTGTGTGTGTGTGTGTATGTGTATATACATATATATAAATTAAACGTATAAATTCTTTAGCTGCATTTTATTATCGTCGAATTGTCAAAGCAATTAAATTAATCCGGAAGTACATTAAATTTTATTGTTTTTTAAAAAAACCGCAATAATAATGACTAGAAAAATTTTTTTAATTAGTGGTGTTTTTGTTTTTGTTTTATTAAAAAACATTTTTAAAACATGCGTAAATGTTGCTATATCGACTATCTTATAGCCTGCTGCTACAAGGGAGTGTTGCTACATCAACTATCTTAAAGCCTGACTCGCAACGGAGTGCTGTTACATCGACTGACAAATAGCCTGACTAGCAAGGGAATGCTGCTACATCGACTGGCAAATAACCTGACTCACAAAGAAGTGCTGCTACATCGACTGACAAATAGCCTGACTCGCAAGGGAGTGCTGCTACATCGACTGAGGGTTGGGATTAGGCAGGTAGTCATTAAAATAAAAAAAAAAAAATTATGAAGTTTTTTAACATTTTCTGGTCAGGCTTATTAACACGCTTTTTAAAACAACAGTTTATGGGAAAAACTTTGTGACTACC